ACTTTCTTGCTGCCAGCACCGTCAGTAAAGAGGCCATTTTCGGAGACGCGATGAAAACACAACGCTCAACTACACACGTTAATAACCGAATGGCAGCATGGCCACCAGATGCACACTTTCGGATACTTTCGTTGTAAAGCTTGGGTTGGGGTGTGCGGCTTTTCCCATTTGTTAGTAACTCTAGTAGCCCTAGCTGGGTCTAGTCTAGTGTCGCACCCTCAATCCAGTCCAATGCTTGGACTGGATTTGTCGGCTGTTCTCTTTGCATCGGGTAGCACACGCTACATCGAGTGAGCAGCGCCTGCGCTCTGCTCTAAGCAGAATTTATGCCAATTTTTCTTCCACCAAGTCTGCAAGTCTTGGCTCAGGGCACTTGATGGCGTTTCCGGCTTATTTTTTCTGACTGGGCTCGTTTCTTAACAATGTCCCTGACACTTCCGGGTTGTGCCTCCACGTCACACCACTCCGGAACAGTCGACTAAAGGAACTTAGTGGAAATGAACCAATGCATAGCATCTAAAAGAGAAGTAATATTAAAAATCTTTATTGTCTCATGAGAGCCACACAAAGGCAACAGTCCAAACTATGGGGACAAGAACCACAGGGCGTCTGTTTCAAATGCCCTTGCTCCAGCGTGCACAGTGCTGGGGCTGCGCACTGCAGGCTTTCAAGACGCCGAAGCGGTATCAAAAGTAGGAAGCCATCATTCTCATCTTGTCAGACTGCAACAACTGTGTTCATATGTGGTGATACAATATGCTAGGTGAGGACAACACTGTCATACAAATACAAATCGCACGCACACTCGCAGGCAGGAGATATTTTGCCAGTATGGAGAAGTGAACGGTAAAGGGGGAAATCATGGTCGAATCGAGAAAAGCAAAGACTGCTTTTACAAATAAACTATGCATCGCGGAAAGCTGAACCGTAGTCAGAATCCGATGCTAGCGGTGGCGATAAAATGTGAAAGTGTGAGCGCATGAAGTTATCTGGATCAAAAGACACAAAAAAAAGACTTCTCAATGAGCCGATATCTACTTGAGCCTAATATTCATCGAGCAGTAATTTGAGATTGTGGGTGCCTGTAGCCTTTATTTCAGTAAAAGAAACTGGGGCGCTATGTGCGACAAATATTTCGTTTCTCCTAAAAAGAAACGGAAGTGACGGAGCTGACAACAAGGTGTCTGATTGGTTAGAAGCTCAAATGACTAAAGTTCCCTCTTTCGTCATTTGAGCCTCTAACCAATCAGACGCCATGATGCCAGTTCAGCCACTTCTGTTTTTCTTTTTTAATAGAAACGAAACATTTGTCGAACATAGCCCCCCTGGCCACTTTCATGCTGACAATTAGTTTCTTCACTGACATATTGCTGCAAGCACTGACAGTCTCAAATCTTAATTTGGTGAAAGTTTGGCTCAGGTAAACGTCGACCCATAGAATTTTTTTTTCTGTAGTATGGCAACATTATGCGCTCAAACTTTCGCATTTTATCTTTACCGCAAGCGTCAGAATCTCACGGAGTTTCAGCCTTCTGCGAAGCGTACTTTACTTATGAGAGCTAAAAAGCCGGGTTTACCTTTCAGGATCGGACTTCGTAGATCAGCCGATCGATAATGAAAATAAAATTCCGGATCGACGAGCTGTTTAATGGTCGTGACGTGTGCGAGACGTGAAGAGGGACGGCGCGACACCACAAGAAACACGTGGGTGAGGCTGAATCGATGCTGGAAAAAGACCTCCCCTCCATTTCCCCACACACGCAAGCCGTTACTATCTGGAAAAAGTTGCGGCACGCCAACAAAACACACTGGGCGATATCGTTCCTTTTGTTTGCCGTAACTACCACGAAAAATGCACAAACAAACGAAAAGCGCGTCGCTGGCAGCTCTCGCCGCCTGCCTCTGGGCAATTGGAGGGGATAAAAACCCAACGTGGTTTGTGTCGCTATTTATTTTCAAAGCGACCTGACGTTCAGAGACGCTGTCGGTCATACCGCGGAGGTATTTTCCTTCTTTCGTAAGCAAGCACCGAAGCATGGTTTAAAAATGGACCATAGAAGTGCTCGCTCGAGCACATGCATGCACGATGAGGGGTGAAGGACTCTTGCATCGCGTGACATTGAGGCACATGGAGTATGCGCTAGCTCGTCCGGAGGAGATAGACCGGTACTCACACTGTCATGTTTCCCGCGCCTCGTATGACCATCGGTTCGGGTACGAGGCTCACCAACGAATCTTCGTTGGCCCTCAGGTCTTCGTCGTCCTCTTCGTAGATCGCGTCGAGATCTGCCATGTTTGTCTATGGGGACGCCGCCATCCGGCTTCAAGGTCACGGGCACGCACTCGTCGCTCTCCTGCTTCCGTCTGTGCGCGAGAAGTAACCGTGGTACGCCCTAATGCGACTTCAAGCGAGTCATGGCACCGCACGAGCCATAACAAAAGCGCTTAGGGTTCGTTCAGCTGTTGTGAGGATTTCTGCCAGTCTCTGTTACGCTCTCCCCTGTTCCTCTATGATAGCTTCTTGCTTCTCTCACAGGTGACGGCACTAAAAAACATGTTTAAATATAATAATAATATTGGCAGATGGCGCAAGAAGCCGTCTAATTAAAAATAACATTGTTTTGTACATATATAAATGTTTCTGTCACGTGATTTGTTTGAGTGCGTTCTTTTACTTCATTCAAGATTAAACAAATGCCAGAACGCTCGGCATGGCTGAAAACGATAAAAGTAGTAATAATGCATTAACGGTATAAAACAGAAAATTATTGTTCTCATCAGCTTATCATTGCAATGTTTTCTTCTTTCGGTCGGTTTATACCCTTTATATTAGAAATAAATTAACCAGCGCAACCCGTAACATTGGATACTAAATGACGTCACTGTTAAAATGAGACGGAAGGACTTGTGTACTCAAGCGCGTCCATATCACTGCTCTTGTCGCTGGTTTCTGCGATCTTTTAAGGCGGGGTGTGTTTCGTGTTATGTTTGTGCCTTGGAGCCGTTTTTCGCCATTCTTCACGTCCGTAAACGCCACCGGCTTTCCGCTGGACTTCTCAGCGATGCATCACGGCATGTCGTCCGAGAAGTTCGAATACCTCGAAGAGGACCTCAGGGCCCTCCTCGACGACATCAAGCGCAAGTTGGACGGGACCCGCAATCGCCTTCAAAGCGGCGAAAGCAAGAAAACCTATCTACGCGAAGTACAGCGTAAACTGGACCAGGCCAACGACGTCCTCCAAGAACTCCAGGACGAAGCCCACTCGGCGCCCAACCCGTACCGTATCCAGATGAACGCCAAGACCCGCAAGTACCGGGCTGAACTCGACGACGTCAACAAGGCGGTTGTCACACTGGCGACTAGCATCAACGCCAGCGGCACGAGGCAGGAACTCCTGAGCCCTTCAACCGTCATCGGTGACTTTGGGAACGATCCTCAGCGCAGTCGGCTGCTTCAGATGAACGAAACCTTGGGCAGGACCACCGATGCCCTCGTCCGAACGTTTCAAGTCGCTGCCGAGACCGATCAAGTCGGGGTTGCCGTAGCCGAAGAGCTGCGCATGCAGCGCGAGTCTCAGGTCCGGACCAAAGAGCGGCTCGAAGAGACCGATCAGAAATTGACGACGAGTCGCAAGATACAGCGCACCATGTACAGGCGCGTGATCACCAACAAACTCATTTTGATCTTGATCATCATCATGGAAATTATCATCTTCGGTGGCATCGTGTACTGGAAGTTCTTTATGAAAAAGTGATTTGGCGATGGTGAATCTGAAAGTCGTGTGTTGTTGCTTTGTTGTGTAGTGTTGTTTTGCCCAATAATTGTCAACGTTGAGAACACGACGCTGCGCAGATTTTCCTAGTGTGATTTTGCGTCGCGGACGACGGGCAATGAAAGCATGTGCCCATATTTAGGGATCAATAATATATTCGATAAGGGCGTCAAATAAATAGCTACACATTTTGTGAACTTGTACGAGTTCCGTACTCCTATTCTTAAGAGGTATTTTTCGGCAATAATAAACGAGTAAAGCTATACGCACTCCGGAGTGCATTTTGGACGAAATGGGTATACGCACTCCGCGCAGAGCTCATGCCGCTCGGGCCACCCTTTTCGAACGGCGCGTGTATCGTTGGGGGCTCGTTAACACAGCCCCCCGCCTGCGTTCACGCCGCTTCGCGGCGACAGTATCGGCTGCTAATTAAAAAACTTAACCAGTACACGCCGCTTCGCGGAGTCCAGCCGGCAACCCAAGCCCCGCTGTCCCCGATCGCACCTCCGAAAAGGGAGACCCATACCATTTAGTTCTGCGAAGTTTCGTCGACAACATCATCGCAAAAAAGAAATTTAAATATCGTCAATGCCTCGACAAAACAAAATGTTTTGAGAAAGAAAAATAGGCAGATTGTGGATCGAACCCGCGTCCGCTTGCGTACAAAGCGATCTCCTTCACCTCTATGCTACGCCATCGCCTAGAAAAAACGTTGCGGCCCTTCGTTTTATACGAGTTTAGCGGAGTGGGTATAGCCACTTCGAGCGAAATGCACTCCAGAGTGCGTATAGCTTTATTCATAATAAACTAGACATTAAATCGTTATTTATGACTTGCTTGAAGCTCATTGGGACGCCGCAGAGAAACAGCGATTAATAATTAGAAAAAAAAAATGATTCATTTTTAAATCTTGCAGCACAGCGCACACAAATATCTATTATTTTTGGACCAGATTTTGTGTTTCCAAATGAAGGTTCGAAGTGGCGCTGGTGGCGCCGTGATCGCGAAGGCGCGCGCGGTCGCGCGAACTTGCGCGATCAAAAAACATAAAAATAAGCGACGTATGGGCTTCACGCGTGGCCTCACGTGACCCGAACCGGCGCATTTCATTGGTCCGTTTGTGCGGAACCAACCCGTTGCGGTGAATTTAGCGCTTTTTGACTCAGCAGCATCGCTGCATTTCTGTCAGTTGGGTTCTGACAGCGCGGTTCGCTCGGGCGTGGGAAACCAATCCACATTCGGACATCAATACGAAGACCGCACACCGGCTCTGGTCAGCCACGAATGTCACCGAAAGGAGCCCCCATGCAGCCGTGAGTCGGACCCACACCGAGAGACGCGAGATTTTCAAACTGACCCGTCTTTCTTTCTGCCCGTAAGCGCAAGCAGCGAGCCGACCGTTTTTTTTTTAAACATGGCGAGGCGTCAAGCTCACGTTGCGTCCGTTGTCGACGCCGGCGACGAAAACTCCAGACCCTTCGGGGCTGCCCCTTCCAAGAGGTCCGAGAACCCCGACAGCAAGATGCAGACCCAGGCTTTGACCAAGAGGCCGGCGCTGACCAATTTACAGCCCGATTTGGTGGTGGGCGGTGGCAAGCAGGCCGGGCCCACGAAGCGAGATTTGGTTCGACAGGTGCGTTTTTTCATGCCTTGTCGCTTTGTTCCAGTCGTTGACTCCCCCTTTTTTTATTGGTTTCCGGAGAACCTTGCTCATTTTTTATCTTTTATGTTGTCCTTGTTCATAGATCTTCCCGTTCATGAATATGCCTGTTCATTACGTTATCTTGAACCATTTGTAAACCTAACGTGTTGTTCGTCGATTCTCTGTTGTTCGCGAGATTTTGGGGGCGCCTTGGACCTGGGATCTTTGTCGTGAAAGCTTCGTTTGCTGTAATTCTGCTAGTGTTTTTCGCGGTAACTCCGGATTATCTTCGCAACATTTATTAAGCGTCCTCGTTTCGCTAGTTTGGTTGTGTGCCTTACGTGCGTTTTAAAAAAGATTTCGTAGATTTTTGTTTTTCTTACCGAGTAAATTTGTTAACAATCATGATACTCTGTGTACTGGATAAAAATATCTCGGGTACTCCCGATTGCTGCAGGGGTGAACATGCTAGGTCGACGCAGCAAGCGTGCTTACATATCCAGCCTGGATCGGCTTTTCCGAACGTTAGTGCTCAACGCCAGAATCTCAGTATTTTATTGTGAGAATATATATTTTAAAAGCTATGGGGATTGGCAAGTACAGTGCTAATCAGACTTGTCTATAACGCGCGAGCGTGCAGGTTTCTCCGGTGAGCGCTAGACTGCTGGCATTCGCGGAAGCTAAGCTAGTCACGTTGCGCAACGTGGAACGGCCCGCCCGAGGGGTATCCTGCCCACTCTATCGCTTGATAAGCGATAAAAGTAAAGTGCTTTATAATCTGCTTTTTTTTTATGACGACATTGTTGATATGCCTTCATGGTTCAGTTTGTTTATTGTTCGAGCAATGGTACTTGCAAAAAGCGTGCGAGCATCCTTCCGCGTTCGCCGCCAGCTGATAGAGTGGGCAGGACACCCCTCGAGCGGGCCGTTCCATGTTGCGCCACGTGACTAGCTTAGTTTCCGCGAATGCCACCAGTCTAGCGCTCCCCGGAGAATCCGCACGCTCGCGCTTTATAGACAAGTGTGATTAGCACTGTACATGCATCATTTACAAGCCGGTAGTGTTTGGTGCGAACTGCCTTTCCATTGTGCTAACACTTCCATGCTCGTTTGCGTAAAATCATACCTGTTCCCCTTTTTTTAGATGGTTTTTTGGCAATGAAAAATTTGAGCAATCGTCAGCTTTCCGGTCATAGTGCTTTTTGCCGATATCTGTGACAGTAACTTTGGAATGGGTGGTTTTCTATGTCGACCATTTCTTAAACTTTTTGTCTTTTTTTTTTTGATTTAAGACATACATACAACCACTCATGCAGCTTCTCAAGCAGAGTGTTTATCTATCGACATTGCCCAGTTTGTGAGGTAAAGACCCTTGCGGTTCACCTGGCCTCTTTTTGAATTCTGGTACATATGCGACGTTGTGCTCTCACTTAAAGGGAGAAACTGACTTTCTCCCTTGGCAAGAAACTGAGAGCCTGAAGACTTAAGTTTCCTGTTCCTAGTAACCCCCCCCCCCTCCCTTTCTTTATAATGCTATGTGACCTTGTTAACCTAATGCTACAGAAGACTGCATGTGAGTAGTATGTTTACATCAACTAGAAATAAAGTAGTTTCCTCAATGTCAAAATGATGACATTTCTGGCTTGGTCAGAGTTCTCATGTGCCAAACACAAACAGTAAAAAGACTATAGTTAGCAAATGTAGATGGTACAGTTTAGAGCCACTGCATTTTGCAAAAGTACTGTATACCATGGCGTCGAATTCAGCTGGAGAAATTTAGCTTTAGATTTCTTTAGGTAAGAAATCTTGTAGGCTGTCATTGGCCACCATCCTCAAGAAGCACTAAATGTCGTTTCTGAGATTGTCTGTTCTTGGTGAATACTCCTTCTACGAGAACTTAGCATCCCAGAAATCGGGAAATTATGCTTGTGCGATGTCTATTTCCCTGCTAAAAATGTGATCGAAGTTTGTGCCACCCCCCTTTTTGAGCGGCAAAATCTGGAGCACAGAATTCAGCGGAGGTGCTGGTGGCGCCTTTGCTTGCGATTGGCTGGCGCCTCTGCTGAATTATGTGCTCCAGATTGTTCTGCTCAGAAAGACGAGTGGCACGAATTTCGATAGCATTTTTAGTAGGGAAATGAACTTTGCAGGAGCATAATTTTTCGATTTCTGGGATGCTAAGTTATCGTAGAAGGAGTTATCACCAAGAACAGACAATCTCAGAAACGTCTCTAGTGCACCTTTAAATCCGGTGGGGAAAGGGGGATTATGCAAAATATTTACACACTCTAAACAACCTGTGATTTCTGACTGTTCATAACGTAATGTGGGCGTTTGAGTGTTAAATGAACGAAAAGGTTCGCTAGGGCTACTGTTGAGTGGTCCACAGTCCGTGGGATGTTGGGTCTTTGTTCTCTGACAAAGTTTGCCTACTCCAATGGCGCAATGCGGGCATTTTGAAACCACCGATGGTGTTGAGATGCACGTGTTTCGCTGCTCTTGAAACATGGTCGCTCTCGCGATGCCCATGCTGAGTGTCTAAACCCGATGGCTGCTCCCTAAGAGCAGCCATCGGGTCTTTGAAGTGCCAGTCTTCGAACACGTGCTTCATGCCTTCTGCGTGGCTGTGCACGCGTGCTGCAGGTGTACGAGTTGTCGAAGGTAAGGCAGTCGCGCTGGAGTCGGGACAACTGGAGCTTTTGATTGTTTACGACACGACTACAATCATTCCGTGTTGCGAGACACCGAGAAGTCGCATGCCCAGGTGATCCCTTGCGGCGCCCCCACCAAACGTGGCGGAACGGTAGCCAAGGAAAGTTAGCCACCGTTCCAGAACGGCTGCACCAATCTCTTCTCTGCCTCTTTTAAAATGCGTTCCGGATTAACGAAGGACGCCCGACTCTCCGCGTGGCTCTAAAGCGACTCCAGTCCGGGGTATACGATGCCCTTCTTCGGTCGCTTTGTCGATTGATTGAATCGACGGTGGCAACAACGTTCAAACGCAGCAATCCAACGCCCGGCGGTTGGCCAGACTGAGCTGCAGAGGATCCAGTTTGTGCCCTGCTCCACCGAGCTTCGAGATCTACGCAGAGTCGTCTGGCGCACGGGGGTCGCAAGTCGACGTCAAAGCGGCTGTCCCCGCCGTTGCTTCCGACGAGGACGACGAGAAGGCTCCGCATTCCGATGATCGGGGGGCGTCCGGCGATGTCTGCTCAGACTCTCCAGACTGTGGAATGGAGTGCGAGGCCGCGGGTGAGTCTGCCTTCGCGTCGCATACCGTCGGCGTTGCGGCTTTTTTCACAACTCCTACACATCGTTTCACTTATTGCGCTGTGGTTAGCCCCATTGGCTCATGTCATAGGGAGCTTCCGTATTAAAGCTGCCCTAAAGACGTTCCTGAGATCGTCCGTTCTTGGTGACAACTCATACTACGGGATCGTAGCACCAGAGAAATTAAAAAGTATGCTCGTGCGACGTCACATTTTCCTACTAAAAATGTGATTGAAGTTAGTGACATGCCCCTTTCTGAGTGGAAAACTCTGGAACGCGGAATCCAGCGGAGGCAGCCGCGTGACGATGAGCGAGTGTCAGCCAGGCCGTGTGCCCGTTGTCACGGCTCCGCTGGATTCTGTGCTCCAGAGTTTTCCGCTCAGAAAGGGGCATGTCACTAACTTCAATCACATTTTTAGTAGGAAAATGGACGTCGCACGAGCCTACTTTTTAATTTCTGTGGTGCCAAGATCCTGTACAATGAGTTACCAACAAGAACAGGCGGGCGGATGCAGGAATCTCCTGAGGGGGGGGGGGTCAGGTGTTGGTCAGCGTACCATATGTTTTGGAACCCCCTTTTCCTTGTTTCACGCCATAAATTTTACATACTCAGAAATCAAGGGGGGGGGGGGGGGGGGGTTCAGGGCATCCGGACCCCCCCCCCCCCCCCCTCTAAATCCGCCCTTGAAAACAGGCGATCTCAGAACCGTCTTTAGTGCACCTTTAAAATAAAAACAGCCTTGTTACCTCACGTGTGCAGTTTTTACGCATTGACAAGTGCCAGAGAGCCTCCTACCTGATGCACACCTGTTCGGACATTTGCATAGAACGCGACAGACTAAGGCAGGCGAGGCTTACTCGAGGAGTTGCGGCGTAGTTGGTCACACTGAAATTCAAATGCCCGTATCGACCTTTACTCGACGGCTCCTGCGACTCGCTTCGTCGCCGCTCTGAAGATGGTGTAATGCGTGGGCGAAACAGGAGGCCGGGCGCTCCTGTCAAAACGTGTTGGGGGCGGCACTTTGGTTGCACCGACGAGCGGACCCCCCGCCGTCTTCCCCTCTTCCCAACCGGGGAACCCTGCAGACCGTGTACCCTGGGGCCCAGACTCCCCCATGGTCCTGGACGCGTCCCTGCACACCCTGGAGCCCATGTCCTACATGGAGATCCGGGATCTGGAGGCCAGCTCGGAGTACGCCCAGGACATCTACACCCACCTCAGGCAGCAGGAGGTGGGTGGGCTTCTTTTGTTCACGCCGCTGCTGATACGTCTTGCAAAAGGACGTGTTGGGAGCATACATATGTATGAAGTAGACTTGCTCCATGCACGCACCATACCTCTTGTACGTTGTACGGGCAGTGTGACTGCGGCCTTGCGGGACGGTGCCGCTGCTTCGTTTTGGAAGGGCTTCGCCGCGGCTGCCGTGATAGAGCCGCCGAATGGGCCGGTTTCTCCACCGGGGTCGGTTTGCTAGTGAATCTGGGTATCTCTGCTGGAGGTTTTACTGTCGCATGACTGGCTTCGTGGGGACGAGGTACCTATAAGAAAAACTCGACGTCTACTGTTTTCTGCTATGTTGTCGAGGCTAGCGTCTCTTGTGTTGTGCTGCAGCTCGGCACTGCTGCGAGAGTGCGCTGCTTTGTCCTGCATCTCGTTTTCACGCGCTCTCGTGGAAAGGAGACCGTGTAAACGCGTTGTAAACGCAAATGAGGTGTAGTTGAATGTAAGATGAAGGAACGCCGATTCAGTTGTACGACTTTCGTCTCCTTCTTCCTTTATTATCTCATTTCTGTTTTGTCTTTTTTTTTCTTTAGACGATATAGCGCTCGACCGAATGGCTTTTACGGTGTGCGAGCACTGTGGAAGATGCGCCAGCCTCGACTCTGCAGGGCAGCATAGGTGGCTGTGAGATTCGCAAATGGCTGCCATAAATAGTATCATTAGTGAGAGATGGGCTAGTTGGTACGTCATTCCTTTTGACAGAAGTGCCACGAGACATGGACAGAAAGTAAGACGTAGCACAAGCCCCCTTTTGCCACAATTCTGTCCTCACTTAGATTATTCAAGTATGCTTTTGCACGGGCGAGAAGATGAAGAGGCTTGAAATGCGAGACTAATAGCATTTGTCTGCTTTAGGAGTGGCATGTGAAGTTATCTCTGGGAAAGATAGTCTTGGAGTGAGAGTAAAAAAAAATGGGCAGGGGTCTGATGAGCGATATTGGCTGGAACGCTATTGCCTGTGTTACTAGTTGCATGCGGTTCAGGCAAAGGCAGCGCCAGGTGAGAAGGGGCAAGCACCAGGAAGGCTGGGGACGAGGAGAGAAAGCTCCTTTCCTCTCCAAGGTTCGTAGCGCTCTGCCTTTTCCCCTCACCTTCCTAGTCCTCGCCCTTTCTCTTTTTGCCTGGCGTTGCCTTCGTCTGCACTGCACACAACTAGTGACATGGAGTACAGGTACTTTCCGTTCTAAGCCAATCACGTCGCCAGAAAATCTCGCTGGGAGAAATACCTGCATTCAGCAGCGAACCGCCCCGGGGAACATTCCACACTCGAGGAAACCCCAATCTGGAGATTGATGCAGTAAACTGGTCATCTACCAACCTGGGAACAGTGGAAGCCGTGAGTTGTCGGGGGAATTCAGCGATTCCGTAAAAGCCGGGGATTCTCCACCTCGATCGGCATCGGTCGGGGAAATTGTGCTTCCCTTTATCCGAGTGACTGCAAACAATGAGCGTCTTGTGCAGCACACATTGCTCACGACTCCGGTTGAAAACTAGTCTTGGTGGAACCCGAATTCTTGCCTCTCGAAACTCTGGCACCAAGACTAACTTGTCTGCTTGCACTTGCACCAGTGGGCTTGCCCAGAGGTTTATTTAACACTGGACATTTATTTTACAAAAAATGTCAGACTGATAAGGTAACAGGTTTTGTTTAGGTGCCCCAATGAGGAGGTTAAGGAGCCCCCGTTGGGCTCGCAGGATATACAGGATGTGCAGGAAGTGTATGGCTTGTAGTTAAGCATTGACAGAAGGCTTAGATCTGCTAAAATGGCACTTAAACCGAGGAAATGTTTCACTCGGGGGTGGGGACGTTCGAGGAAATTTGGGAGTTTGGAGAGTCTTGGAGGAACCCCCTACATCCCCCAGAAAGGCATTTTGGGAACCCAGAGTAGTGACACCGCATTCCCCGATTGTTCCGCAAAGCATAAGAGCAGTTAACTATAACTACCACTCGAATTGGGACTTCGCGAACCTTGGATACGGCGTCGAGAGGCTCGGGCAAATTCGTCTCCCTCAGTCGCGGAACCACTTAAGCTGCTCCGCAACTTCAGACGAAACCTTGCTTAACTTTAAACGACGAGTTTGAGCACTTGAATGAAACTCCATCGTGCAGGCTTCCCGCAAGTCCTTGAAAGTGTCGGAACTCTGAGCCGTCATTTTCAATGCCTCGTAAGTTGTTGAAAAAATATAAAAAAATGTTGCGGCACTGTACGAGAACTGCAAAGTGTGCAGAACCTCAAGCACACCTTCTCACGCGAGTCTCTCACGGCTCTCTTCTTCTCTCCCCGGGTGCGCGAAGGAGAAGCTGACCCCGAAGCCGACGTACATGAGCAGGCAGCCGGACATCACGTCCTCGATGCGCGCCATCCTCGTCGACTGGCTGGTGGAGGTTGCCGAGGAGTATCGCCTGCACCCGGAGACGCTCTTCCTCGGCGTCTCCTACGTGGACCGCTTCCTCTCCGCCATGTCGGTGATCCGCAACGAACTGCAGCTCGTCGGCACAGCCGCCCTCTACATCGCTGCGTGAGTGGACTCCTCGTGCGTAAGAGCGAAGGTGGTGACGTCACGCTCGTGCTCCGATCTTGATTACACACAACACTGATGCATGTTCTTTCTGTTTTTATGGTTGGGGCAGCTTTTATGGCACACGCCCAGTTTGTGTGCCCCAAGCATTGCTGATGGAAGTGCTGCGCCAAATTGCATTATGAATCCTGGTACTTCTTGTGCCAGAATGCCATTTTTGCGAAGAATTGTGCCTCACATGTGCCTAGATGGGCCTAAATCAGAAAAATATTAATGTTTTATTATTGGTAGGCTTTAATATTTGGGGAAGTAGAGGGAAAGAAAAATTTTACAAATATGAGTTTCACGGCGTCTCTACAGATCGTATAGTTTGCCTCGTCTTATGTCAGAGCACTGGCGAAGGCTGGAACACCCGCACCTAAAAACACTCGTACAACAAGTGGCAAGTCACGGGGCTATTCATTGCACTTGACTGATTTAGCCGATGAAAGCACGGGTACAATAAGATGATGAACGCCACGATGTCGCGCTTTGAAGCGGCAATTCAACTGGGCAGAGCCGTTGGTGCTGGGCATCGACTGCTCTGGCCGCTTGATGCATTGGCTGGTTAATCGCCGACGTCTAAATTTCCAGTCGATGTCGGAGACCGAGTCCCGAGAAACCTTTTGCAAAATATTAAGATAGTTGATTGCAGCTACTCGTACTCCTGATAAGAGCACTCGGTTATCGTGTGTGCCACATGCCTCCGTGCCGTGGCACTTGCACCGCTTGCGTCAGCCTTCACTGCCTGTCATCAGTGTGCGCACGTCGAGCTTCACCGCTTTGCACCAGAGTGCTACGAGCAGCGGCTGTTGTGGGGCAGCGCCTGGCCTAACGCGATGGGCATGCAAATTGTGCTCCGATTTATTACAGGTTGGGCTTTGTCCTAATTGCAAATTAATCTCTTAACAAAAAAAAGCAGAGAAGGGAGAAGGAAACAAGGGTCTATACCAGGGGTGGCCAAGCTGCGGCTCGCGAGCCACATGCGGCTATTCGCATGTTAAAGTGCGGCTCGCGGCTCCCTCTCCTACACCCCCCCCCCCCCCCCCCCCACACACACATTTCCCAGAGACAGAAATAGAACGAGTTTTATATCGAAAGACAGATTGCGGTTTCGTAGTCTTATCTGCTTTTGACTCGGATACATTGAAAGTAGTTCGAGTTTCGTTTATTGCTCTCAACAGAAAGTGTGCCCTCCCCCCCCCCCCCCCCACGGCTCTTGGAAGTTTCGTGGTTTTGTTTGCAGCTTTTAGGCCGGGTCAGCCTGGCCACCCCTGTAAACAACTTAATTTTGCGAGGACCTCATTTTTGCGAATCGCTTTTAATTCGCGAAAATCGGGTCCCGCAAACAATTCCGGTAAAATGTAAACACACATTGGAATCTATATTGAGATCATCCCACCGCATCGCGAAAATTGAAAACCGCAAAATATTCCAAAACTTCAGCTTTGACCTAAATCACAAAATATTAAGCCCGCGATAAAATTGTTCGTTTTCGGTATATACATTCGAATGAATACAGTAGGCACGGTAGTCCCCGTGCAGCTGTAGATCGAAAGAGCAGCAAACTGATCCACTCCGATTCCTATGCTGCTAAGAGCAGTGTCACTTTTAAAGCTCAAGTGTAGGCTTTTATAATATCTTTGGGTGGTTGTCTTTGCAGTTTAGGATATGTCTCCAGTTTGGTAGGTTCGTTAAACTTACGGGACAGATTTCTATTGGCAGACATGTTAGTGGATATGCTGTTTCTCGCTTGTACTGTATTTGAAATGAATTATATTTACAGGCTTAACAAACTACCTAGTATAAAAGGGAGAGAGGATTTATTCCAGTGGACTGTGGCACTACGATTCACTTTTCAATCATATTTAGTACCCATTATGCATGAAACCTACTCTGACTAGAGCATTATTTGATACTATTCCTTTTACTCGATATTTGCTCTTATCACAAATGGTAATAAGTAATATGCTCGAGTGTCAGAGGAACCCTCTATCGCTATCATAAGTGAACTCGTTAAGATGCAATCTCGCTGTCGTCGAATATAGTTTGTCGGCAATTTCTAGATCGCGGCGTCCTCCTTGAAGTGCGAGGTTGACCTACAGATCTACCATTCTGTAACAAAGCAAGAGGACGATACCGAAACGGAAGTTGCGTAAACAAAAGGATTATGCGCCCACAAAAAGTGACACTACACAATAAAACATTGTTTTCGTCGCTTGCCCTTGCATGCTGCTACACGTTGAAAAAAAAAACAAACAAAGACTGCCCGGTTGAATGGGGCAGGCAGCAAACCCAGACACGATATGGAAGCGCACCCTGCTCTATTCGGGCGTGGCACTCGAAGCGTTAAAGCTCGTCCACGCAGTTCCATCGACTGCGTTGCGTTGCTCATTGGCTCATCGTAGGAGTCACCATAGCAACAGCTCAACGCAAGCAGTCTTAACGAGACTCAAGCGGCTGCAGTCGTGAGTAGGAGCCTTTAAGCCATTCGTGACTTATTCGGTACCTCCTAGATGAGCTGCATTCGACGAACCCTTAGCAGAGTTGACACCATTTGTTGTGTTTGGGTTTTGCCAGACGGTGGCGTACGGAAGCTCTTCCGAACGAGCAGTTCTGGCACGACTAGCTCGTACGGCCAGAAGACTGCTCTCGTTTCTATCTTACCCTTAGTAAATGCGCCATTTGTCTGTAGACCAATCGGTGCGTCTGACGCGGGCGCTGCAGGAAGTTTGAGGAGACCTACCCGCCGAAGGTGTCGGAGTTTGTCTTCATCACGGACGACACGTACACGAAGCAGCAGGTGCTCCGGATGGAACAGCTGGTGCTCAAGGTGCTTTCGTTCGACATGGCGGCCCCCACCATCTACTACTTCCTGCTCCGCTTCGCGAAAGTCGGCAAGGCCCCGGACACCGTCAAGCACCTGGCTCACGTGAGAGGCTTTCTTTGATTAGGTGCCGCCTTTGTAACCAAAGGCCGGTGCGCACTCTTGCGACCGCTTGCGACTTGATAAATTACGACCTTGCACGATATCCTAATGGGGAACTCGAATGGGTTCTAAGATTGTCTGTTGATGACGACGACTCAATATGCGGGCCCAAGTCATCCTAAAAAGACCCGAAATTACGCTCGTGGGTGACAGATTGTCGTATTAAAAATCTAACCGAAGACTGACACACACTTTTTTCTGCGCCTTAAAGCAGACACTGGGGGCTCCGTCGGTTGGCATTTTCACTAGAGCCTAGATTGAAGAGAGGATTCATTTTAAACCATGGGTGGCGTTTACAATTCAATGGTGAACACCTCCTGTGATGATCGGTTGCAGGCGCGCTGTGTTTGCGGGTGGCGAGGAGGAAAGGCGGAGACGTTTGCAGCCGATCGACGCTTATGTCGCCTCCTTGCAGCTCGTTTTGCCAATGTGGCCCATAAACCACGTCGCCCCGATCGGGCACCCAGTGATTTATTTCTTGTCGAAATATAGTGCTTGATGCACTTAAAGAGCACTATTACAGATATTTGTGATTTCACGCAACTCCCTCTTTTCATTGTTCCAATTTTACGGAGGGGGTGGAGACCGGAAGATGCCCCTCCCTCCCTACTTCCCGAAGAGGAAGTAGTCGTGGTGCATTTTTTGCTGGTAGTTTACTATGACATCTTGCCATCTAGAACTGGTCATTTTTATTGAACAATAGGCCATTAAAAACAAGCGTCTACGAAAAGCACGGGAGTGCCCCTTTAAGACAAGAAAATACTGGCACCACCTATGAGACAACTTTGGAATTCATTTCACTGCAGCGAAAGTTTTGCAGTATTTGCGGTGTTTAATTTATTGAAACGGTCGTTTATGACATTACCGTAAAGTTCCGAAAGAACGCCCACCCAAAATGAAGAGATTAATGGTGAAAAACAGGGGCGGGGTATCTTTGGGGACGCCACAGCAAAACTTTATCTAAAACTGGCTACAAACCACGTGATGCGGGAGCTTGTAAGGCAGATCGTGAACACCGCAAATTCGAGTGTCGCAATGCGATAAACAAGCAGGAATTCGCTACAAACTCCTGTGTCACGGGAAAGTATACCGCAGGTTGTGGACGCAGCAGATTCGCGTTTCACGGTGTTAAGGTCCCGCGGAAATCTGCCGAGGAACTCTCAAGGGAACGAATGCCGCAAATCACGGACGTAGCAGATGGAAGTTTTATGGTGCGATAAACCCGCGGGAACCCGCTACAAGCCTGTCTGTCACGGGAAACAATATCGCGCGCGCAGATCAAGGACAAAGAGGCAGGAACCCGCTACGAACTCGCATGCTACGGGAACAAATCCCGCAGATTGTGAATGCAGCAGAATCGTATTTTACGATGCAATATAGATGTGGGACCAACTCAAGTGGAATCGAGGTCGCGCACGCACATCGCGGACAAAAACGCGGGAACCCGCTATAAAGTCGCGTGTCACACAAACTATAAACCGCTATAATCTCGCTGGTGCAACAAATTACGCGGTTGATGCGATTCCTGTCTGACATTGCGTGACGTCTGACAGGAATCGGGGATGGGCAATGTTTCGGAATTTTTATGTTGCAGATATTTACCCAGAAAAATGGGATGGGCGATCTCTCGGGGCGGGCGTTCTCATAGAACTTTACGGTAAGGTTTTCAAGCCAGTACGGAGAGAAAGTTAGCTTTTTGCAGAGGATTTGTGGTGACGTCAGAACGACGCCGGGCTCTGATTGGCTTTGATGGAAAGAATAGTGGCTAGGCCTTATGCTAGGTGCCTTGAGGTCTACCCACTATATTTCTGCATTAGCCAATAGGAAATCATCGTTCTCACATTATTGACACCCCTGCAAAGAAGCAAACCAACTTGCGCTCTGCATAGCAAAAGAATGATGTGAATAAAAAAATGGGAATGTTCAGAAATAGCAAGAGTTCCACAGCTGCCCGACAGATCGCGCCGGGGGTGCTCTTGCACGGTAAGGGACCGGAAGAGGTTGTGCTTTGCATAACGTGCTCTTCACATCAGTGTTTTGTGGACGCATTTTGCCGGTCTATGCAGTTGTCTGCTACGCATTTTATGACGTAGATTTTATGTAGATTTTGCCGGCAATGCCATGGAGCTGCGAAAAGCCATTTTCGTCGTTTAGGAATCGGAGGAGTGTAGCAGTTCAGCCATTTCAGGAGTGAGAATGGGCTCCGTGTCTCCACTCCTGGGAGTTGAAAGGCATAAACTAATTCCCCAGAATTTCGGCGGGGAAGAGAGTGCTTGTTCCACAACACTGGCCTAAAGGGGCATCTACCCGTTCCCTCAAGCGTGTTAATTATAAGGAGTTTGGAAGTGCCTACTGTGTGCTTTTAAACCAGTTGCCACTCGAGTATAGCGCGGTATTTCTTCCAGTATCTGTGCGAGCTGACGTTCCTGGAGGTCGACCCGTACCTTCAGTACCTGCCCAGCATCGTTGCCGGTGCGTCCTTGTGCCTGGCAAACCACACACTCAACCGATACCCGTGGGTGAGTCTGACTTGTCAATCGGTTAGCGTTCTTATTCCTTGTGGTGAACGGCAATGAGGATGTAGCTACAGAAGTAGCGGTGCTAACACTCCCCCACCACTTAAAGGAGCTGTGCAACGATTTTAACGTTAAAAGAGCTGGCATTTTCTGCTTTTGATATTGTTCACTGTGTCACAAAAGGCAGAAAACACACCGCCTTCCATCGAAATGTTCAGATTCCGCCGCGTAATAGCGATGCAAAACTCTGAATATTTCCCGACCTGCAGCCACGAGCGGCGGCCATGAGAAACAAGCGGCGTGACGTCACTTGGGTAGTTGTAAAAAAGATAGCAAGTTGTGCGAATACCTGCTCGATAAAAGGTAACATTTCTATAAATCTTGTCGTTCCAAAATATATATAAATGCGTCAAAACCCTGGTATCATCGACAAGACTTCTATTATACGGAGTTTTAGTGGCGTTATCTATCCTAGGTCCACAAAACCGCGAATAGCCACCAGAAGCCGGAGCGGGAGGGGGACAGCGCCGGACGGGCAAGGACGGGTATGGCCGGACCCGGATGAGACTTTCCTCCTTTCACCGTATATTTCGCGGGGCGCCCGCCAGCACGTGGTCACGTGGTCGCGAGCGGATGAGTTCTCGCTGCTCGCTGATGGCTCTAAAGAGGGACCTTTTCCGAAACCCCGCGCCTACTCAAGTGACGTCACTGCGGACGTGACCCGGAAGACGATGTACGAGTTGAGAGGCGGCAAAAACCTGGATATTTTTCATTTTTTTAAAATAAAAACTAGGGTATCCAGTCAAAATCAGTTTTCTGTAGTTCACTGCGGAAGTGTCAGGCATCAACTTTCACAATTATTTAACCAAAGCCCTGAAATTGTTGCACAGCTCCTTTAAAGGCCGACTTCCCGCTTTCCACTTTTGCTGTCCTCCTTTCTTATATGCTCTCCAGTTTTTACCTCGCCCCAACTTGGCTCTTCTCGCAGCTTAGGAGAGGGGAAAGCTAAGAGGATTGTCTTCCCTGCAGTAAACCGAGGTTGTACGTCGGCCTTTCAAGAGACAATGGCATCTCCGCAAAATTACTTATATTTTTTGCCAGGCGGTTTAATATGGTGTCGGGAGACTACCAACCAGTTCAACGCGTGTTTCGTAAGTTACGAAAAATAACGAGTAATAGAGGTAGTACCGTCAGTAGCACAGCACGAAGAAGATAGGTGTACGTTCACGGCGTAAGAAAAATGGGCAACGTTTTCAGTAAAATTTGTAGCACATTTCGCGTTTTGTTTTATATGAATTCAAGAAAACTTGGTTTGAAACTGTGGAATTTGATTTCCGCAGTTTCGAAGCCTGAATTTCCATGAAATTCAGGCTTGGAATTTAAATTTCAACTTTTGAACCTTTCAGTGTTCAATTCAATGTTCAGCGTTCAAATTTTTCTAACTATCTATAAAAATATTTTGATGTCAAGCTTTATATTTTCGAATTATTCGAAACATTGAACCTTGGCAGAGTTATGTTGCAAACTGGAACTGGAACTTTGGGAGGTTCGTGGCATCCCTAAAAAACATTTGTAACGCTCTTGAGGGTAACTTTAATTGGTTCGTGCTTGTCGATGAGCACGTTCCCGTTGTAGGTCCTGCAACAGATGCTGCGATCGTAGACTTTGCGTGCTGCCGGGGCAACACAAAGTTACGTTGAAGAGGCACTCAGGAAACTCCGACGACTGCGGAGATGCGAAACACCTTATGGCTACTTCGAAACAAAGCGGAGTGTGCTGGCGGTGACGGTGTTCTTGCAATGCCTGGAGCAATTCGAGGAGAACTCGTGCCAGGATTAAATCATCTGCAAACTTCCGTTTAGTTATTCTTTTACTCGACAAATCGGCTGCAAGATGTTCATAACCAAGGTGGGTTTGATTAAATGTACGGTCAGTCTACCGTAGTCTTACCATCCACCTTCAAGGTGTTGGCTCTATTTTTTTTTCCTCTCTCGCTTTTATCGAATTACCACCATATCAAATTTTTTTTGCTGTCCCCTTGACTTTATTATAGCTAAGGATTACTGTAGTTTGAACGCCACGTGACCAGAGAAAAGAGTGAGCGCCACTGAAACCGGCTGTTTTTGGGCGGAGAGAAAACGAATTTCCAGCCAATATATTTCGAGGACACCTACGCACTTATGAGTTGTGGATGCGAAAGCATGAATGTCGACCTTCCGTTCCCTCAGTACGTCTGCGGCGTCATGGCGTGGACGGCCAGATTTTGCTTGGCGACAGCAGAGCACGCGCTCTCGTGAAGTGCCCGTGCCAAGCTGAGCTCGGCCGTGCACCTTTTCTTGAGTTTGCCCGGACGGGCTCTGCGGTCAGGCCCGCACTGCCGCACCTTGCCAAGTTGCTGCGTGCGCTGCGCCACCATGGAGAGGGCTTCTCTGGTGGCGTCCAGGGGAACTACGCCGCACGAGAGCCAATGGGAGCCTCGTTCCTTGGAACTATGACATGTGCCAGCCAATGGGCCATCAGATTTCTGCTACAGACGACATTGGGACGGGGGAAGGTGCCGTTTGGCGCGGCTTCAATGCTGGTGACAGTGGTTCGCTCCATGGGTCCAGTTAATGCTTTCGCATTAAAATTGTGTTATGGGTGGTTCGGCTCTTGTAGGTCATGTTAAAATGAGAACCTCAGTGAGCATAGATACCCTGCCGCCTTCGTGCAGTAGTTAGTTCTTCATTGTACTGAGAGCAAGACTGCCTTTTTAATGCTCTAGCTGTGACGTTCCATGCGAGTGTTTGTTTTGCATGTTGTGTTACTCACACTCTAGTTTAGGTGGGCGGTTCCTTGCCCACTTGACCGATTGCGCAGCGGGCAAGCGGCGCGCTTGTGACTTTTTATGCAGACCTTCATGAGCCATAGTTTGGGCCTAAAAGCCATTGAAGTCTGTTTTGCTTAAAGGGGTACTCCCACAACATTTTTCTTCAGCCACCCCAACTCAGTTCTTTGAATCGCCGGTCCTTTACCCCCTTTGGTACACGTTTTTGGATCGCAAGTTAAAATAATTATTATGAAATGGGCAAATGAAGTTGATGTCAAACACAACATTGAAATATACCTGTGCTTTTCAGTTTCACATTACAGACGAGCAGGGAGTCTAAATACTGTATTCACACAATTGTGTGTGACCCCCCCCCCCCCCTCCCTCCCTCCGTAAAAAACTTCCACAGCAGCAAAAAAGAAAGTTGATAGTTTAGAGGCACATTCTATGGCAAACATGTGAGAACGGCAGGGCGTCTCTCAACACCTCGGCCTCCAGCATACATTCAATGCCTTCTGCCGTGCTTTGGTCGGTCACGCACATGCGAGGCGCACGAGATGCCGGAGAGTTATCAAAGCTGGAGGCGGAACAACTGAAGCTGCCCCCTGTCCTTCTTACTCTTTGTCTGCTACTAGACACTGATTCGTCGGTATCGTCCTAGAAACTCTCGCACTTGGCAAATGACCGCATCTTCCGCGCTTCTTCTGTGATCGCATCGCCCTTCACGGGCAGCAGCCGATCGCGCGCTTCTGCGACGTACGTTACAAGCTTGACCTCCAATTTTGGAAAGCATCTGGACCTGTCCAGACTTTGGCCCTCGGAAGCCACTCAGTTTGTTGCCATGATTAAGCCCCTCTGCCGTTGCAGACGCTGCTGGAGCACCGCCCGTTTTGACGGGTCGAACTTGCGTCCAGCAGCGCTGTTTTCGGTCGCTTTCGTATGAAGTATGGGCCGTAAATGAGCACCGAAAACCAAAGCTGCCTGGATCACCAGTGTCGGTAGAAACTTGTTTGGCTTTCCAGCAAGCTTCCATGACCTCGACTTTCGATCAAACGATGTGCGACCGTGCATTTTGCGAAAAGCGGGGGAGTGAAGCTGTTCCATGGTCGTTCCGAAGGGGCTCTTGCGTCAAGTGCCGTCACCCTTGTGATTCAGGCGCGTCCGTTCACCGCCGAACATTCAGGCTGGTTTGCGAATGGAAATAAATAATACTTTTTTGTGCAATAATGAAGAGGAAAAGTTGTATAATGAACGTCCAGAATAGCGCAATGCTACAGGTTCAACCGGCTGAACTCGAGCATTAGTGTTCTTGATGTCACAGTGGATTCATTTTTGTCGGCTGTGGAATGCTTTGTTTCTGCGACTCGACCTACAATCGTGTAAATGCAGTACAGTATGCCAAGCATGTTTCATGCTGCAGCATGGGTGGTTGATCGCGCTTCCAGAATATTTATTCGATGCCATGAAAGTGCTTGTAATCAGTGGGAACCTATTCTACATTCCACAAATGAACCCCTACCTGCCGTTGGCGTCACTTTTTCATTGTTGCCAGTAGAAACTTTCAGTCTCAAAGAAAACCGAGGACCAACATTGTATATTTAATAAATTGGCGGAAATGTTTTGGCCAGACAATTTGGTTAATTCGGCAGTGTTTGTTGTGTGGGGGCGGTGGTAGTCCCCAGGAAGAAGGAACAAGTTTAAAGATTAAGATAACTGTTTATTATGGAAAATAAATGTTTGTCTGAGTCAGTGGGACCGGCGGAAGAAACTGGAAAGAGAAGAACGTGGGCTTGGAGTACTTTGAGGCTATGGCAGCGGGCGAGGGCGAGGCTAGTTTATGGAGTGAGGGGTAAGGTTACAGCTGCGGCGAACAAGTCTGCTGCCGGGGCTTGCGAGCAGAGTCGACTTGGCTGGTGTTTACATTTGGGCGACGGGTAGAACTGAGGGCAAGAAGAATGGACGGTGGTTTGAACGACGAGGGCTCGTTGGCTCTAGAGAACTCGGGTTGCGGGGAGCAATTCGGAAGGAAAGAACTGAGCGGGGGCGGCAGAGGGGATGGAAGAATAACAGATGGCTACGGTTAACATATGCTCAGAATTAAGTCAATTTTGGGGCAAATCGGGGACTATGAGGAAAACGCAGGAGTGCCCCTTTAACTTCCGCAATCCATACGTCTTTTCCTCCTCATTGCGTGCAGTCCTCGGGCCTGGTCCTCTACTCTGGCTATAACGTGGAGGACTTCAAGGAGTGCATCCACAGCCTGCACAGCAGCTTCTGCAATGCTGGCACACAAGCACAGCAGGCCATCCAGAAGAAGTTCATGTCCTTCAAGTGAGTCTACTGCACTGCATGCCTTTTTGTTCTGTGCTCCCTTGTGAGCCCTCGAATTTCATTGTCAAGACTCCTGTGACAAAAATGACCATGTGGGGAACATCGATTTAAAACTTGAAATCTTGGCCTTGTCTGGCCGCTTGTTTCGAGAAAGCAGCAATGATTGACGGTACTTCGGGCATGGTGTGAAACATCCTTTGCAAAAATGGGAAGATGTTGGTGAGAACATCGGAGGTGGCATTGTTGCTGTCATGCAGTATAATCACTGGTAGTACCATTGCGTTCAAAACGATGCGGTTCTACATCCTTTGGGAACTCCCAAGTCCCTTGTAGTTTTACAGGGAGCTATTAAGGGCTAGTTTCCCCAGCTACCGTCATTTATGAGCAATGGCGGCAACCTTTCCAGCCTTTCCATTGTCATCCTTGAGGTACAGCTTTGCTGGTCTTCCTTCTTCACCAGAGTGGAAAGGCTGAGTTTTTTAAAGTTTATTTAGGGGAACCCTTTTATGGTATTTGTGGCAGTGAAGAGGCATATTACTCGGTGTTCAAGCAAACTTAAAACCGCTGCACTCTGCTAGCCCCCTGATGCGAGATAACCAAATGCCACATTCTTCAATAACTCTATCGTTCCTTTGGCTTTTCGCAGCAGCTGTATGGTGATAGTGCCAGGCATTGCCATACATTTATTTATATCAAATTCGGGTGGTCAATCGTCGGCAATTTATTTTGCCAGAAAACTGGCAATAGCGTTTCCTACCTGCCAATTCTTCCGAATTTTTTGAGAAATGTATGAATTGGGACTAACTCTACAAGTTTACAAAGCCTTTGTTCATGTGTTTGGCGGCGCTCGTTGTTTCGACGTGTTGTGCCTCGCTGTCTTGGCCAGTTTCGTGGCAAGCAATGCGGCGTCTTTGTTACACGTATATTCATAGCATTTCCCTAGTCGCGTTGGCTTTGCAGCCGAATGGCGCACTCCAAGCCTCAAGAGAGGTACTTTCAGGTGTTCCTGAAATCCTACATGTTGGAATTCCCGTGCTTCGTGCCGTCCAAGAAGGGAGAGAAGTTTGTATTCTGTCACACGTGCACGTGTGATGTAAGCGTTTCGCGCGGTCGCAAGGCTGACATTAAGCTGCACGTCGCTTCGGATAAACACCAGGGATAAGTGCCTGCCTCTTACAACTTCCCCCGCGGCTGCGGGAGTTTTACGAATTTGAAAGTCCACAGGTCGGCAAGTATGGTGTTCGCATTGCCAGTTTCTGGCTGGTGCGCACAGTTCAGGTGGTGGTTCTCCTCCGGCAAGCACCGAAAACTTTCCGGCGCTTTTCCGCCCGAGCGGCCAGGCGAGCGGGCGTCAGACTGTGTCCGGTGTCGTCACCTCCAAAATGGGAGGGGTCAGCGAGAAAAACTGAGCAAAAGAACAATACAAATCCGAAGTCTCTATATGGCGTATATGTGGCCCTGCGGATACGGAGAAAGGCATTGTGTACAAGATCCCCTGCCAGGACTGCAGCTCTTCGTACATTGGGGAGACCGGACACAAGAAGATAACCAGGATGAAAGAACACCAACGTGACGTCAAGTATTTCACGAACGCCACCCGTCTCAAGACGGAGCTGGTCGACCACGCGTGGACCACAGGACACACCTTTGACTTCACAGCCGCGACGACCTTGGCGAAGGAGGATAGGTGGGGCCCACGCAAACTACTCGAGTCATGGTTCATTCGCGGAGATAAGACGGCGTGCAACAAGAACCGTGGCCCCCTCCCGGAAGCTTATATGGACCTTCCCGATAAATAGGACTGCGTTGACCGAAGCTCTCTCATTCCTGTGTATGTACTATCGTGGACACTGTTAGCTATAACACGGCAGCGGCGGCCGTCCCGTACCCCCAGCGCCTCATAGCAGGCGCCGTCCGAAACTCCGCGCATGCGCCGCGTGGCGGACTCGCTCTTCCCGCCTGCGAGCACACCCTCGCTTTGTCGTCTGCTAGGCACAGAGCAGACGACGCCACAGCGCTCACAAATTTTCTCTGAAGACGGTTCAGCAAGCCACCACGTAAGAGGTGTCCACGGTTGATTCCCTTACTCCGCTGGCTAAGGATAATCATCGCCAATAATTTTAATATGACGGTTTATGGGACAAACTTGCAGTTATACTCCGTTTCAATTTAGGTATAAGCGCAGCGGACGCTACGAGACGATCAGGCCAACCAAAAGCGACAAAAGCGATCTTCTTGCACCTTATTGTGTCCCCCGGTGATGCACTCCGTGACATTGCACCTTTGCCGCTATTTTATTGGCTGTGTCGTTTTGTAGCGTACGCTGCACTCGGACTTTAGGTGAAACGGAGTATAAGTCTATTTCTGTATCACACCTGCTGCGCTCATACTGGTTTGCGAACGCATATTGTGAAAGATGCATCGCGAAATCCTGTTTCTGAAAAAGGAAAAAAGAAAAAAAAAAACGTAAACAGGGTTAATGCCCCAATGACTCTGCAATCTCCCCCAATCAAAATCGCCGGTTTAAGATGAGTTCGGGACCAGTTCGCTAGGGCCAGGGTACCAGCCGAGCAGCACTGTGGCATCGCCTGCTCTGCGCCTAGCAGATAACGCAGACGACAAAGCGAGGGTGTGCTCGCAAACGGGAAGAGCGAGTCCGCCACACGGCGCATGTGCGGAGTTTCGGACGGCGCCTGCTATGAGGCGCTGGGGGTACAGGACGGCCGCCGCTGCCGTCTTAAAGCTAACAGTGTCCACGATAGTACTGATGCCTCCCGCATGGGAGGCGAAACGTTTAATGAGGCTGTTTTTCTTGTTATGTGAAGTCGATGTTCTTATTTTAATCGTGGCAATTTGAGTTGGTTCAAGGTCGCAGACCAGCGCCAAAAAATAGACGGGGACAAAAAGTTGACGTAAATACTGGCCCGAGTTGCACCAGTGTTTACGTCAGCTTCTTGTCCCTGTCTGTGGTGTGAAGTCACTTGAGCAGCCAATACTCCAGCGAGTCCAAGCAATTGGGACACGGGTGACGCGGCAGCAGCAGCAGCAGCCTCGCTATCGGTGTCTCGCGGTCAAGCGGCGAAGTAAACTGCCACCGTCTGGCGTTCGATGTTCAGTTGCTGAGGGTCACGTGGTGTACTGCCGGCACGTTTATGGTTGCCGGTACCGTCGGCTCGGTCTTGCCGGCGATTGAGCACCCGAATTTGCCATTTGTGTGTACACTTGGCGAGAGTGCAGTGACATACAGTAGGTTCGCAACAGTTCAAGGATATGCCATACTTCTGGTTAGTTTGAACTAAATTTAAAAATTTGGGTTGTCTCACTCTGTTTAATGCAATTTTTTAATCAAATTTCATAAGCCATTTAATTATAACGGCGTTTTCATGCAATTCAGTATTTTTTTTTCTCGCTGCCCCCATTGAGTGTGCTTCTTTTCAAGCATCGGTGCCTTGCGGAGAACCAGCACCTGCGGAGCTTGTATCTGCGGGTGTTGCTTTTCCGCAGTGCTCCGGTGCTCGTTAAGAAGCACGCTCAATGGGGCTAAAGCAGGGGACACATGAGCAATGAAAGTGCAGCAGTTTCAATAGCAACATGAACGGACGCTGTGACGGGGCGGCATGCCATAGGTGCGGCGTGCGCGCAAGTTGCCATGTAAATTGCAGTGCAGCGCCTGGTTTTACCGCTCGTGCGTCCCCTGCCTGATAGTCCACAACAGACACATTTTGTTTTAGATGAACAAACTTAATGTGTTTTAAGGTGTCACGTGCTGTCTAAACAGTCCACGATAAACATTTTTGAGGGGTCAAATAACTGGTGTTATGTTTCACCAATGTTTTATGCATGGCATACCTGCTTATGATTATAGGCCCATGTGGAGGAAATCATAAGATATTTGCATTGTATGTCTAGCCATTCATACACCAAATTGTAATGTTATCTTGCATCGTATTTAAATGAATTTCTGATAATTCGAGAGAAATTCGGCGCTTCCTGGAGCTTGAAATAATGATTCTACTCTAGCTTCCAAGGTGCCCGATTGTGTGATTGGCATGGCAGTGACTAGGAATGCAGATGCCTCTTCTTTCCTTTTGGTAAATTGCCACTTCTCGTTGAACATTGTTTCCACCTGCTTCAAAAATGCATTGCTTGTGCATGTCATTGGAGTGTTCGGTCAGGCAGGGCCTGTTTATGCAGCAGACGACAACAAGCAAGGAACGTTTGAAAGAGAAGACAGTTCAAACGATGAGGCGCCCGTTTGGACTTCAAGACTCGCTGAACGTAGTCCGCAGGTGGTCCGTACAGCTTAGCGGTTTGCCCACGTTCATGTTCTCGACTTCACGACTTCTCCTGGGCTAGCACAACTGCACAGTTTGTGTATGCTAGCTGGACACATTCTTTGTCTGGTCTTTGTCAGCGTAGCTGAGCTAGTGTAAATAGGGCTTTATAAACAAACTGTTAAGGTTGGCTTGCACTGCTTACGGACGAGTGACACCTCTCGGGATCTGTTGCGACAAGTGAACACGCCAGTGCCGTCCTTTGAGTAGCCGCGGAATGCTTGCCGTTTGCATAAAGTTTCAGTTTTTGTTTTTATTCATGCATCATTTTTTTTTTCACTTGGCTCGAAAATCTTTTAGAGGTGTTACGAACGACCATTTCCCATTGGTGGTAACGTACATTTGACGTTGCAAATACCACGAAACCTTCGCTCTAGTGAATTGCAGTTCTGGAGCTGCCTCATTAATGGCGCCAGCGTGCCACTGCATCTAGCCGCCCCGTTCACCCGCTCTGTGTAGCTCGGTCGGTGTGGTGTCTGGCTGGGAATGGCTTGTTCCTTGTTCCATCCCCATTCGAGAGTAATCTTTCATTTGTTTTAATAACGGGCCTATACGCTTCATACAAGTTCAACCTACGTGGAACAGTCGACTGTTGGAGCAGTTCTAAAATGGAGTATAAACAGATTCTGCCTTAAAAATATGGAGCCCTACTTAGACCTACACCGTTTTGGTGCTGCCTGCCTTCCCAAATACTAGCACGCTTACCGCCGAATGCACAAATCTTGCTCCTATTTAGGTACCCCTTCACTTCCTCGAGGAAAGCGAGAGGGTGAATAAGCAGCCTAGGTTGCCTATTCGTCCTTGCGATTGGCCGGCGCCGGCACTCGCGCCTGCCTCGAGGAAGTGGAGGGGCACCTCGGTTGGGGCGAGGGTTGTGATTTCGGCGCTTAGTTCAGTGAACGTCCCTTGGATGTCCTAACGTTCTGGGGATTTCCTCCATAGAACATCCCCATAACATTAAGACGTCCTAAGGAATCGCAGAACAAAGTGTGCTGCTAGAGTTCTTGTCGCTCACACCGCCTTTTGTTTTTCCTCTACACCAGGTTTCACTACGTCGCGAATCAGAAGCCTGCGTCCACGCTGCCCTTCTAGCGGACGACTCCGCGTCACCACCACTGCCGCTCAAACTCAATACGAACAAGTTTTTTTAATTGCATGTGAGACAATGCATGCTGCACTGCATGTGCCGCTCAACCTCAACGCGAACAAGTTTTTTTAATTGCCTGTGGGACTGCATGTGTACATCGATGGTCGAAGTGTGCAATCTCATGTCTTGTGCGATTGTGAAAAGAATGAAAGTCGCCACTGCTGTTGCAAGATTTTAAATGAAACCCATTTTTTTACATTGGGGCGGGGAGGGGGGGGGGGGGGACTATGGGTGAAACTGTTGGCTTGGCTGCCAGGCGCAGTAACGAGCGAGTTAAGAATTATGCAACACGTTGCAGTTTTTCTACCACAGACCTGCAACACCTCGGAGCAGCATGGCGCATGTTTTTTGGCTCGCTTGAGATTGATCCTGCTGGCTCGTAGCCTTGTCTGCAGTTTGCATTAAAATGAGCAAGTATAGAGCGCATCTCGCAGCTTTTACTCACCCCCCAACTTCAGCTTTTAATTTCCATGGTCTGTCTCTGATATACTCATGTACAGTGCAGATATGATACGGATGCATCATTCAAAGAGACATTTCCACTGTGTATGAAAGGGTGGTATATTTATCCAATTGCCACATCCTTTCTTTTTTATTTAAAAAAAACTGACTCCACTTTTAAGCCCTGTACATAAGTGTCGAACAAAGTATTCTTTTTAGGCCAGTATGTGTCCTGTCCAATAAATGTACTGAACCAGATTTCGTTGGTCTGCATTGGTTTGTTTTGAATGAATGCGATTGGTTCAGGAAAGTGTGCAAGTCTGTGGTTTTCGCGAGGCTTACAAAATAGGTACGCTTTTAGCTCTCAATTCGGGCGAAGATGTTTGTACTCTGACATGGGGCTAAACTACCACTGCGCCGGAAACACGTCTACGGCGGGATATGCAAAATGTTTCCGGGCAACGTATACTCCGGTGACCTGAACTAAACAAAACTAGTGACTCGGTTTGCGATCGGCCCGAATGCTTCAACCCGAGTGAAAATGCCATTTTTGATTCTGGCGTGTTTTAAGCTAAGATGTTCATGGGGATAGGGGAGTGGAGGAGACGAGATGTAATGCAAAACTGTAAAAAAAAGTAACCATGAAAGAAAGTGTCATTTGAAGTCCCAAGCAAATTGTGCGGAAACCCCTCTTGCCTCCTATTTAGTATAGTCATCTGCAAGGGGCTCATGAGCAGGACTCGTCGCCCTCTCGGTCTCTCAAAGAAATTGGTATTTGTGGGTCGTAACTCCATTGAGACTTGTTATTGACTTGCCACCCTTCGGGCATGCATCTAGTGTACATCTTTCCCCGTTTTCGAAAAACATTTCAATATAATGCCTTGAAGTAGTAACGTGTGTTGTGGTCACTCGTAGGCTGGATCGCGTATTGGGAGCCAGACGGTGACAGCACCTGCAGCGATTGCTTGACACTAGGCAAAACCTTGAAGCTTGTCTGATGTGTCTTGTAGAGCAACTTTAAGGTTTTCCAGGAATGATAAGACAGAATCTGCCGGTGTGAGTAACTCTTCAGAAAATTACACAAACAACATGCCAATCTCTGTCATCTGCTCAACCTTTCCAAATCTTAGTCCTGCTTCAGATAACTCGATAGTGTGTCATTGATCGTGTGCAGAGCAACAAGAACATAGTTTGATGGATGTCGGCGGTATTTATCAGATAGCGCCGGGTGCACTGCAAATGACTAGTGCCTTGTCATGCGAGGTACTATCGCGGACAATATGAGCTGAAACAGCGCTCCGGCCTGTGCACGGTACTACCTGCGTCGCCTGTCGCATCGCTCCCCAAACACGCGCCGCACCCTGAGGTTGAGATAAATTCTCACTCCGCTCACTGCGCCGCTGCGCTCTTCCGGCCGTCTGCTAAATAAAATATTCGCCAATAGAACCACCATCACGATGCGTGTGCCGTACAGCCCAGTGTTTCCAGCTAACATGCATTTCAGTGTCTTTCAAGAAAGCGCCGAATTGTAAAATGCATTGTCACGCTCGTATCTCCTAGAGGAGCGCTGCCTGACGGAGCTGCCTTGGCCGCCAAAAGGTGCCGATCTGAATATCATCGAACACGTTTGGAGGCGCATCAAGGTAGCCATGTCACTGCGTCCCCTCTGCCGCGCCACTGCCGACGAATTGTGGGAAGCGGTGAGGCGTGAATGGGCTTCGGGCCGAGCCAGACTCCGAGGCCGCTCTGCATGATTCTTTAGCAGAGATGATAAGAGCCGTGGTCGCGGGTTAAGGGAGAATGACGCGGAATTAACTTCTCTCGTAAGTTTTACTGCGCCTCGGGACCCCCTCAACTGGACTTCTACCGGTTGGAGCAAAGCTTGATGCTACGGTTGCGACACACTGGTGCCGTTAACCGGCGCACATTTAACTTCCCCGCCGACTATTAATCTTTTGTGTCTGACATTGTCCTCTGCGAATATTCTTGCGATGAAGTTTCAGGCTACTTCTCAGGACAAATATACGACTCACACTTTATTAGAACTAGGAATTTATAAATGAAACAATGGTGTCTTGTCATCAACTTTTCTAGCTTGAAAGAAATACGTGGGCCCGGTAATAATGAAATAATATTTTTGAGCATTTCCATACCAATAAAGGTTACAAAACTGTCGCATTAACATGTTACCGTTGTTTTTAAACAGCTGTGCTCAATGAAAAAGAAGGAAATACATCGGAGCCGGCCTTAATCCGATAAAAAGATTTTAGTTAATATTTTACGATGTCCTACTTTGTAGATGCACTTAATCAAATACAAACAACCTGCAACGTAATTTCAGGGGACTTTGAAAAACGATAATCGCAGCTGAAATTTAAGACAGCGCAACATTTTTTCTTTCCCAGTCAGCGTTTTTCTACTTAATTTTTAACAGGTATTACGACGGGTGGACTGAGACAACCCAACCACCTTTTCAATGTAGGCTGTTTCCTCCGGCATCCTGGTAGAGTGTAGTTGGGAGGGCACTTGGTGGGAGACATAATGTTACTACAATTTAGTTTGGCTTAAGGGGGCGCACCGCCGGAAAATTGCAAATTTTGAGGAAAAAAAATTTCTTTTCCTATTTTTATGTATAGTGGTTCCAGAACTGGAAATTTTGATAGCAATGTCTGAAGTATTTACGGAGAAATAAATAAAACATTTTTGGTAAGCCGACGATGTAAAATCATGTTTGTGAAATTTCCCTGTTTTCTATTTTCAAACTGCAGTAGCGTTGCACCGGTATACCCTCGAATGACGATCATACCCTTGTTAGAAAGAGATTTTCTTCAACATCAGTACATTAAATATCTTTGTTTGAGAGTAAACTCTATTCGGGCACGAACACCATAGAAGTTCAGCTTTCACGTGGAAGAGGCTATACATATGACTAAGGATCGAAAAGCCTGCCCTGATTGAACTCAAAACTGACTAAAGCCAGCCTTTTGTTTATAGAAAGTCTCGTGGGTTTGTCTGTTTTGTATTTCGATGATGCATGGCCCGCCCATTTTTGCTGATGTTGGTTTGTGTATTGCAAGCATACCGAATTCCTCACTCCTTTCACAATCAAAGTCCACACGCTGACAACAAAATGACACTCGGAGAAAGCATTGTCAGCTCGGACTCACTCAGCAAAACCGTGCAGGAGATTGGGTGAACGCGGAAGGCACCACAATGCACTTAGTGCCTTTGAGTTGCCACCACCACCAGCAAAATCAAATGTAGTGGTGTGGAAACTTCAAACAGGTTTTTCGCAGTTCCACTTTTTTGCAGCAACTTTCGTTTTAGAAAATCTGTTATTTCAACGAATCACCGAACGTATTCTCCGCTGTGGATGTTTCGGAGCTGAAATATAGTGAGGAATGCGGCTAGATGTTTATTTTTCTATTTAAATGAAGTTTCTATTGCCAAAAAGTAGTCTTAATGAGGAGAAAGTGCCCCGTTATGTGGAATGCTTTTCAAATTGACATTTTGCATAGGAAAAAGACGGATTTTACGGTAACATATAGACAGCCGCACCCGCCATGTGTTGCAGGGGGGAAGAGGGAAAGGGAAATCGGTTATTAGAGAGTTTTAGGGAACCGTTTTTGCACATTCGATACGGTACGATGGGCCCTCCGGTACGAACTGCGCATGCGCCTGTCTTCTGCGATCTTACCGTAATGCGCTGGCCGAACCGTTAGGCACGACCGGCACGGCCAATAGCCGACATGGACAGTCTCGCTTCGTTAGCAAAACGGCTCTTTCGCTGGCGGAGGGAGCCTGCCGTGGCTCCAATCATGAAGAAAATAACTGGTGGCAGTGCCTGGCAGGAGCGCCATGTGTGACAGCAAATCAATAAAGTTTGAGTAAGCGAATAAGAAGAAGAATAAAGACCAAACCGCAATTCGATTTCTTTAATTTAAATAAATTAGTCTTTAGTGTATCCGAAAGTCGTCTGCTCGGTAGCTCAGTGGATTGGAGCGACAGCGGAGAGTTCGAATCCCGCTGGCCCAAACGTCTTATTTTTTTTTAACATTTTATAAGTTTTTTTCTTTTTTTTTTTTACAAACATTGGATGTGCATTTCGAGCACTTATCACCCGTTTTTTACAGCTGCTGTTATGACTGAGGATTTTCTGTAGCGGCAACAGAGTGAGCAACAGCCTTCTGCATCATGGCTGTGGATACCTTTTAGTTTAAAAATGCTGCATGAATTTAAAATTTCTGTACAAATGCTAATCACCTATATCCTATAAAACGAGCCCTTTGAATATTGGGTGATAGTTTTAATAGGTGCACAGCAGTAAAGTTACAGGTTTTGCTTAATATTTTCTTCGTGGTCGTACCGTACACGGCGCAACGATCGGTACGCGGGCGTACGACCGTGATCGTCTGCTATCTGTACCGTAAGAGAGCAACATGAGCGCCGCATCTACCTCCGTCCCTCCGCCTCCTCCTCGCAAGCGGTTTACAGCAGAATACATCTTTCTACTTCGGGAGGTGCTAGGCGCTACTGCTTTTTCACTCCAGCCCTTTGGAATGACGCAGCGTTGAAAAAGAACTTCTCGTTGCGAGGAGCGAAGGAACGAATTGACCTCCTCGTAAATAAAAATAGAGATTTGAGACGTACTGTAAGATACGTCATTCCAAAAATATACACACTGTATGGAAAGAAAAACAGAAATCATTACATTCCTTCCTTAGTTAACGAACTCCCAGAGTACCTCATGAATATGGAATCCACTAGGGTACTAAAAAGGAAACTAAGGAATTGGTGTCAACCATTTAAGCTGTAGATATCATAGCCTAGCCGTTGGATATGTTTCGTACTTTTATTTCATGGTTGCGTGAATAGACTTGGCTATAAACACCTATATTTATGCCCTAAAGTTTTCCTTTTTGTATTTATTTGTGCTGCTAATTTTAGGTTTCTTTCCTTTCTTTTTTTGGGCTGCAGAGTGTTTTCTTTTTCTTTTTTTTTAACAAGTATTCTAGATGGTCGCCTGGCCCACATAAAAGCAAAATGCTGCTTTTGTGGGCCAGCTCTTTATTGTGTATGACTTGATCTGAAAATAAAAATTGAATTAACTTGAAAATTGAATTGAATTATCTTTGTACAAGAAGACTGACCGCATCAACTTGCGAAAGTGTGTATATTTTGGTTATTTTTGTATTTTTTTCGATATTTAATATTTCTAGTTTTATTTGTCCATAGCTTTCTTAACACTCGATCCTGCA